TAATATACGTTATTATATCGTTCATCATAACCTTCGAAATTAATTTATTTCATGATTGATTTAATAATTTCTCGAAGTGTCATTTTTATCTTCCCTTAATGCCATCAACTTTATGTTAAGCGTTGGAGCCCGATCCCGATCCCGATCCCGCTCCCGCCTGTCGCGCCCGATCGTGAATCATCGCGATTGTTCCCGCTCCACTATCGCGATACTTGTTCCCGCCGCTCCCTAGTCCCGATTCGCGAAGAGTCGCGCCTCCCTGCTGTCGCCGCCTCCCATCTGTCGCCACCTCCTGTCTCCTCTAAGTTGCGAACAGAAGAGAAGAAAGTTTCTAAGTCGCCTCCTGTCTCCTCTAAGTTGCGAATAGAAGAGAAGAAAGTTTCTAAGTCAAGATTTTGAGTTCTTATTTGGGCTTCATCGGGATAGATGAAGAGTTTTTTTGGGTTTCCTCGGGATAGAGGAATAGAAGTGCAAGAAGTAGTTCCTTGCAGTGAAGGAAGAAGAAAGAAGAAGAAGATTCTCTCTTGACTTCTTCTTCGTAGATTGTGGCAGAAGATAAATTAGATTTATTTCTCTTATAGATTTATCTTCTTCGGTGTATCTCGGTGAAGAGTTTCTTTGGTGTATCTCCCGTAGCTTGTGGCAGAAGATAAATTAGATTTATTTCTCTTATAGATTTATCTTCTTCGGTGTATCTCGGTGAAGAGTTTCTTTGGTGTATCTCGGTGTAGAGAGAGAAGAACAGAGACAGAAGAAAAGAGAACAACGAAGTAAGAGATTCCTTTTGTAAGTCGAGGTGATCGACTAGTGTAAATTTCTTAAATAGTAAAATCCTCTGCAACTTCGTGGACGTAGGTAATTTGTCGAACCACATAAATCTGTGTGTTCCGCTGTGGTGTTACTGTTCTCTGGAGTGAAATTTTTTCTTTCTATTTTTCTTTTCGTCGATTGTTCTCCTGTTTGATTTTATTTCTATATACCACAACAACTTGTCTAGTATATAAATTTCACAACAACTGGTATCAGAGCTAAGTTCGAATTTAAAGAAGAATGATGGTTGCAGATGAAGTGAATGTTTCAGAGATTGAGAAATTTTGACTTGAAATGATAGATATGATTGAATGAAATTTGTTGGATCGACAAATTTTAGAGGTTATTCAATTGACCATATCAAGGTTCGTTGCACACAACTTCGTCAAGGAGATGACGACTACAGATCTCATGGGAGCATTATTAGGTATGTATGAAAAATTATCAGAGAATAACAATGTGAACTTAATGAAAAAATTATTCAACTTGAAGATGACGGAAGGTGTTTTTATTGTTCAACACCTGAATGATTTCAATACTAACACAAATCAATTATCGTCAGTTGAAATTGATTTTAATGATGAGAAACATGCATTGATTTTGTTGGCATCATTTTCAAATAGTTGGGAAGCCATGAGGATGGCAGTCAGCAGTTCTGCACGTAAATCTAAACTAAAATGTGATGATATTCGTGATTTGATTTTGACTGAGGAAGTGCGCAAGAAAGATTCTGGCGAGATCTCAAGTTTGAAATTCCGCACTGAATGTAAATTTCAGGGGAAATGTCAGAACAGGAACTCAAATAAAGAAAGATTAAAATCAAAGTCTGGTCAGCAGACAACCTGCTGGAATTATGGCAAGGCTGACTACATAAAGAGGAACTGCAGGAATCCCAAGAAGATGAAGAATGATAGTGCAAATGTGGTATTTGAAAAAGTAGATGATGCACTACTGTCGGCAGTTCATAATTTTGTTGATGATGGAAGTGAAGAGAAGACTGGGTCAAGGGCACCCATTCCTATTATTTCACAGACAGATGGTGAAGAACCACAGAACAATGAAAAAATCTTGCAAGATGAAAATTCAAACAAGTGGGAGCTGGCAGAATTTCCTCAAGGGAAGAAGACATTACACAACAAATGTGTGTACCAGGTGAAGATTGAGTTTGATGGCAGTAAGAGGTACAATGCTAGACTTGTTGGAAAAGGCTTTAAGCAAAGACAAGATATTGCTGATGCAGTGAGAGTTATAAACGGAGACGAGTAATCTAGGAAATAACTTGGAGGTGCAAATCTATGTTGAACCTGTTAATATGTTGGTTGATGGCTTTACTCTTGAGAAACTGAAGTTGTGCACAGTTTTAGTTGGTCTTCTGGAGTGAAGACAGAGGCTTTGAGTTGCAGAGATGAAAGATTCATGGTGGAAGAAAAGGGCGACACCGCCAGTGGAGGATATCAGTTTGAAGAAGAAGACGTTGTAGCATGTGTATCGGTCTCCAAGTGAGAGATTGTTAAGCGCTAAAGCTAGATTCCAATTGTGATCCCGCTCCCGCCCGTCGGGCCTGATCGCAAATCATCGTGATTGCTGCCGCTCCACTATTGCGATACCTGTTCTTGTTGCTCCCTGGTCCCGATTCACGAAGAGTCACGCCTCCCTACTATCGCAAACCATTACCACTTCCCGTCTCATTTAAGTTGCAAACACAAGAGAATAAAGTTTCTAAGTAACAATTTTGAGTTCTTCTTCGAGCTTCCTATGGATAAAGGAAGAGTTCTTCGGGTTTCCTCGGAATAGAGTAAGAGAAGTGCAATAAGTAATTCCTTGCGGTGAAGGAAGAAGAAAGAAGAAGTAAAATATTGTTCTCCCTTAGCTTCTTCTTGGTTGCTTATGGCAGAAGATAAATTTGGTTTATTTCTCTTGTAAGTTTATCTTTTTCGGTGTATCTCCGAGTATAATTTCTTCGGTGTATCTTGGTGTAGAGAGAGAAGAACAGAGAGAGAAGAATAAAAAGCAATGAAGTGAGAGAATCCTCTTGTAAGTCGAGGTGATCGACTGGTGTAAATTCCTCTAATAAAATCCTCTGCAACTTCATGAATGCAAACAATTTGTTGAACCACGTAAATCTGTGTGTTATTTTTTGGTGTGATTTTTCTCATTCTATTTTTTTGTTTCGTCGATTGTTTTCCTATTTGATTTATATATATTTTTTCTCATTCTATTTTTTTATTTCGTCGATTGTTTTCCTATTTGATTTATATATATATACTATATCAACTGGTGTATATCTTGCAACACTTTAAACAAACTTTTATGAGTAGTTAACCAGACAAAATTCTAATCTCAAAAATAACATTGAAATGTCAGATATTTTATAAAAGAATTAAAAAAAGTAAGAATAAAAATAGCCTAAATAAAATACTCATGAATCCATCCCCATTTGTATAGTCCTTATTTTTAATCATTCAAATGAATCCTATTTTCCATTTAAATATTTCAGTTTTCACAAACTCAATACACTTAATATACAACATTGGCTAAATATTTCTTTAAAGAAACCACAATCAACATAAATATTAGTCTTATTCCAAACATTTAAAGTTGGCTTTGTGGATCCTCATTCCACATTTCTTTAGTCAATGTATTGCATGATTTCTTAAGCCTATGCTACACAAATTTTTCGATAATAATTCTATCGATGTTACATATGATTCACTTCTCCTTTCTAATCCTTAAATAGTAATTTTTTTATCTACTTTTTGTCTTTCATTTTATGCTTATCGAAGTCTACTTTTGTTTATTTTTTTCAAGAAAAGTGAGCCCTTTATGATTCAAACTCAGGACCTTACGGTTGAAAACTAAACCCTCAAACACTGTCGTGGTCAAGTGCTCTCGAAGTCTACTTTTCAGCTACTTATCTTCAATAGATTCTCCTCACATTATAACTATCAAAAAACAATCACTCAATCTATCTTTTCAAACTCTACCACCCATCCATCTTAGAATTTTAACTCATGGCACACCCAACTATTTTATTAAAGATATTTTTATCACCGAACACTCAAAACGAAACAAACAATCAAGCCTGATTTCACATTTATAAGTTTATTTTTAAATATCAATGTAGGCATTATTCCATTATAAATACCCAATCCTAAATCTAGAAGTCAAAACCATACAAAGAAAATATGAAAAAAAAACGTGAACAGATTAAGCGTCCATAAAAATGCACAATATGTCATTACTTTTGTTAAGATGTAGCATTGATAAGAGCTGAAACATGCAAAAAATCATACATGGAAATTATTCAATGCCCCTATCATAGTACTACAATTTCAAAAAGATTATCAAATAACTATAAAATTAAATGTGATTTAGAAAAGAACAAATTTAAAATAAACATAATGGTCTAATCTTGTGGATTCCAACTAGCAACTCATAAAAGGAATTAACATCCACAGTGACTCACAGAACTACCAAACAAATAAAAATATTACACAATTTCTCAAGACCCAAGCACAACATAAAGTCAATTGAAAAGCTCTTTCATTTGCTCAACAAAATTGTACCATACATACGCAGAATGTGTGTAAATTATTTGCATGATTATAAGATATTTCATATTTCGAGCATCCACACCTCCAAAGCACAAAGATGATTGTTAATGAGTTCCATCAAAACCAAAATTGGTGTCAAACAACAACGTAATAAGAGCCTGTAAATCAAAAGCACGGAATTGTATGATGAACGTAACTGGCAATCCAACTTACCATAAGGCCATCTTTAAAAAACTGATAGGTATATTCAATCATTATTCTCAGTGTTAGGTTTCTCTCATATCCACTATCAAACCATTAAACTGGAATCCTTTTACTGCGTCAAGAGTCATGCACCAAGAGCTTCCAAAAGAGGTATGGGCAAATAATCACCAGTCAGTCTGTGAACTTTTGCTCAAGCATTGGAAGGCAAAACAAAGGCTGCAAACTTAATCCCTCATAAAACTTAATTAAAACGTCAGCTCAAATTCCGCTTGTTAAGATGTGCTGCAAGATCGGAGGCCCAAGTTTTAACGATAAGATATCGAACCCAATTGAAAGCATAAGCCTTATGGTTGAAGACCACTATTATAAAACCTAAATCCTAGGCCTAAATTACTTAAACATTAATTCCAAGGAGCAATACCACTCAGTTTCGCAAAAGTAGGTGCCCTAGAAAAATAAAAGAATAAACAAACCTTTATGTGCTTCCGAAGCATCATGAAACTCCTCCTCCTCCGGCACAGGGTGTAGCTCCGGGTCCTTGTTAATAACAGCAGCAGTTCTAGCGTTCGAAGCGATCGCATCCTCGGTCAGCCCCCCTGCAGCTTCGTCAGGGTACCGCACTACCACCACAGGGCAAACACAGTGGTGAACACAATAATCGCTGACACTACCAAGCCTATCGCTGGCACTACCAAGCCTCCCTTTACCGCTCCTCTTAGACGCCCCGAATCCCCGGCTGCCCATAATAACAGCACTGAGCCCGAGCCTCTCTACCTCGAGGCAGAGCCTCTCCTTCATGTCATGATCCTTTACAATGTGGATTTTGAAGGGGATATGAGACTCAACAAGCGGCTGGGCGAGATGCTGTGCCTTGGTGATAGTGAAGGCGTCAAAATCTTCCTCAAGTTTCTGCTGCGACTGCTCGGAATCAACGTCTTCAGTGGCAGCAGCGGTCTCCGAAACGGAGAGGTCTATGGATCCCCAGTCAGCACCATAGAGAACGGAAGTTGAGCGAACATGAAGGAGGATGACGGCATCACCAGGACGAAGGTAGTTCTGAACAGCCCACTTCACAGCGTGGGCGCTTTCGTCGCTCAGATCTACAGCGATCGCAATCCGACGATGGGAGGTAGCGGTGGGGTTCGCCGCTGCCGCGGACGAGAAGAAGAGTCGCGGTGATGATGGTTGAATCGTCTGCGCTGCAGCGGCTGGGGCCCCCCCCCCCGGCGAGGTCGGTGCGGGGCGGTCGGCTTCGGAGGGACTCTGATGGTGTTGCATGCCGCTGGAATCTGATCCTTTTTTCCTAGGGTTTCTCCGACTATGCTTTACGAGAAATGCTCATGTCCTCTGCTCTTAAGGAGCTCTTTTTCTTTTTTTTGCATTTCTTTATTATTTTTATAAATGAGCTACTTTAAGGGAATTTTAATGTGCTTAGATTTGATGAGTAAATCAATTTATAAAAGATAAATGTGGTATTGTGTTTGTGTTGAGCTCATTTGAAGTTTAATTTGTTTAAATTCAGCTCATACTCGGACTCATTCATAAATATTTATTTTAATTTTCAAATATAATGGCTTCAAACAAATAAATAAATATATATATATATATAGGTCAAATACAATAGAAACATTCTATTTATCTACTAATTAATTAATATATATGAAAATTTTTAAATAAATAATATTACATTAAAATTTTATATTTTATTTATTCATTAGGAGCCAATAACAAATCAACCAGATCGAAAAAGTCTCCCTTCATAAAATGGCATTATTCTGTTTGATTAGTTAGATTGGACTTTAAATGATCTATAATGTAATTAATTATATAATGAACCAAATTATCTTAACTGATGCATCACAAAAAAATGCCAAGTAATCTATATTGAAATTTATTATCTCGGTGTTGGATCCTAAATTGTCTTTTGTGTACACGCCCCGAGAGTTTGGGATGGAGTGAAAGAGAAGAGAAGAAAAAGATAACGTATAGCTCGTCACGGGTTGCCTGTTGAGAGAGTCTGTGAAAAGTTCATTTATACATATTTTTCTCCCTTATTTATAGATGTGTGTTTTGTACAAAGACAAAATTGAGTTAATGATTATGAAAAATATTATTAATAGTGTGAATATTCTTATTAATCATATGAATTTTATAGAATGTCATATTACAATTTGAATTTTAAAATGACAATAATAGGTCGGTCGGCTAGCTTGAATTTAGCCGAGCAAAGTAACCGGTTGAGTGGCGATCGAGAGATTGATTGGTCAGTCGAGGCGCCGGGTCGAATGTAGATTTCGTCCTCTGCGATGAATATGGGTCGATCAATTAGCCACGATTAAGAATTCATGTTTGAATACTGATCAGCCTAGACTTGGTGTTACATGCCGATTGAATCTCTCGACACAATGTGTTAGTTGATTCCCAACCGTGCAGTAGTGTATTAAAGTTGTTGTCACCCGAAGGAGGTGTCCATTTAGGACTTTCGAGGGAACCAGAGTCTCTTTCACGGATCTCGTTGCTAGAGAGCTGGATAGAACTCCTCGAGCGCCCCGACCGATTGGTTCTTTCGGGGGTGTCTAAGCCGAGCGATTTGTTTGACTTTGTGAACGTCTTGAGATCTCAGGCCGCTCGCATTTAGGGTGCACCCACCATAAGTTTTCCAAGCTTATCGGGCAAGGTTTGAGACATACCTGGTCGGGCTCAGTTCTCTGAGTATCGGGAATGGGCACAAGGAGTTAATGCTTCTTCTGGTAAGGGGTGTCTTAAAAGTCTGCTTGAATGTGGCATTTCTTTTCTTTACCAGGAAATCATCACCACTTCTATCTGTTGAGTTGTTATCATTAAGTGGACCCTCCTCAAGAACTTCAGTGAGCGGGTCCCATTTAAAGTTGTTGATTCTCCCTCCTATTTAAAGGGGAAATAAACTCTCCATGTCCTTACCTTCCCATAATGTGTACTGGATTTGTGAAAATTTGGCGAGATTAGCCTACTTCTGTTCGGTCGGGAGCGGAGACAATCTTCCTTTAACGGATGTTGATGGATCTCTAAGGCCCACGCTTCTTTAGTTTCTTTTTGCTTCGAGTCATGTGTCAAAGCAAGGGATATTCACCGAGTTGGATGTCGAACGTTACCCGAACAGAGGTGGACACCAGACACGAAATCCTTCCCATAGATGGATGTAGTGGGCTTCGAGAAATGGTGAAGGTGATACCACTTTCCTTGGATGTCAATACATTTGTTCGACCGTGGCAACCAGATGTTCGGAGGTTTCTGGGTCCCTGGACTCAAATGGACCAAAAGTAGGGCATGACACCTCCGACAACAATGGCTTTCTCCTCTCTCTGTCTCCAACTGCTCCTCATTACCAGAGAAGTTTAGAAGAGAGCAGGAGATGGGCGAGGGGCCCCAACCTTTTTTGCTCCGGTTGCATTCTGCTTCCGATTCGTACTGGGGAAGCTCATGGATGCAAAAGCGGTTGGAATGAGGTCAAATGATGAGAACTCGAAAAGAAGCCAAAGTTCTTGGAGAGGAAAAGCCAGTTGAATTCCCGCAAGATTTTCGGTCGTGGGTCGCCCTTCATAGCAAATGTGATGGTCCGTGGGCGAAGATGGGTTTAGCATATTCCCAAGGAGGATCACGTCCGCTCAACGACGCGTTACCTAGAGAGATGAACTTGTAGTGTTCTTCCCTCGCTGGTCGTGATGACCGAACTTCCTTCCCGTCTTCCCAACAATGGTTGCCAATGTTTTTGCTTGGATAATAATGTTTGAAAAAGTCGAGCTTCTGACGATCCATGTAGAGCCTTTGCTCTTCTAAAGCTATTGTCATGGTTAAAAGATGTAAAATGCGTACCTAGTAAATTTGTCGATGGGAAGTGTCTTATAACTTTTTGATTGGAATGAATAAAATTATTATTTTGTTCTTATCGTGCTTTGTTTCTTTATTCTTTTAATTTGTTATCATCATCTAACAGTAATGGTTGTCCAACTCATTTTTAATTTTTTTTTTTAAATATCAAACCGTCACTTGTCCAATCCGGTCGAGTTCCCCAAGTGTTGGAAAGACCTGTGAACCGTAAGCATAAAATTAATAAAGATAAAATATCATTAATTAAACATTTTTTACATATTGGTGACGAAATCACGTTTTGTTATGTATACATAAGAATTTCCTTTAAGGAAGATTGTTTTTCAAATCGTCTCAGCTCCATGTCCGATAAGATTTCTTTCCGGTGTTCGTCCTAAGTTGATAAGTCATATTTACTGTAAGTATCATAATTTAATGCATATTAGATCATAATTTTCACTAAGTCATAACGTCCTAAGTTGATAAGTCATACTTACTGTAAGTATCATAATGCATATTAGATCATAATTTTCACTAAGTCATATTTGTTGTTTTAATTAATGTTTTCTTTCAGGAGAAGTAAAATCTTAGTGATTATGTCTGATAGGAGAAACTTGATTTACAAGAGGAAAAACCACTATTGAAGATAGATATTAGTTTATAATGTGATTTTAGTTTTTTTTATTGTTTACTTCTGTATAAAGACACTTTATATGTTGGTTTGAGATATATGTCTTCCGATTATAATGTTGTTACTTGATGTTTAAATTTTATTGTACTTAGGAATTGGTGACTCTTAATATAATGTGAAAGTTTTTGAAATTTTAAGAAAAGTAAAATGAAATGTTAATACCGCCCGAGTGCAATTCCCGCCTTAATTCATCTAAGCACCGAGTCGGGTCGTGCATACCAACTGTTGTACTTCAGCTGAGATGTTGTTTAAAGCTGAGCCTATATTGATTTCTACCATCACCATACCCAAGCGAATGGAAGTTTCTCGGAAATCTTTCAGAAGTGTTGGACCTGAAAATGTAGATAAAGCTTAATTGCTGTTGGAAGATTTTATGGAATTAGAAGTTGACAGCAGCTTTAATTATTTTCTCTTCAGTCAAATGAATAAATATTCAACTGACAATCATGAATTGCTCCCATATCGAATTGTCAAGGTTTGCCGAGTATAAGATGAGAATCACCATGTCCACGAAATCACAAAGTACTTCACAAATAAAATGTTTTACAGTAGAAAAATTGACACGCACATTTCAGACCCGACTATGTCGATTCTTTTCTTAAATCAACTATTTTTAAACGGTTAGGAATGTTTTTTAGTTTTAAGTTGTAGTGCTTGTACAACACATTGGGAAATTATATTCTTACAATGTGCAAGTGGCCATCAAAGAAAGGAATAACAAGTTTCACACATAACTCACCGCAACTCCAATTGCGAGGTACATTTTGCCTATAAGCCGAGATGTTGCCCAGATTTTCCTCTTCTTCCTCATATTCAAACATATCAAAAGTGCCCCTCACATAGGCATCACTCTCCGATTCCAAATTTGCTTGTGGATCAAAAAAATGGCGTCGAAAATTTGAATGTCCAGTACTCTAATTATGGAGCACCGGTGTGGTTGTAGAGCTTCTCGTTTTGAGCTTCTGGATCAACCTTCGCATCTCCATAGATAATCGGAAGAATTCATAAGCGAGTTCATTAATTCGCTTCACTAGGCTATCCTCTGCTAGCAGCCCTGTCGCAAATTTTCGCCGAACTCCTGCTCTGAAATCCTCTGCTAGCAGCCCTGTCCCAAATTTTCGCCCCTCGCTCGCGGACTGTTCCTTCTCCGTCTCGCCAAACCACACAAACCTGCGGTGTGAATCCAGTCGATCAAAGCTTCCACTGCTCACCGAATCTGTCGTGATTTGGCCGGCCGCGAAGCGACACAGTTCCCCCCTCCTCTTTTCGTGAATGTCGAACTCCTCTTTTTCGTCGCTGGTCGCGAACACTTTAACGCGGACCTCTAGCCAAGAAGTATGAATCTTCCCACAAACGACGTCAATTGTTGTGAGATATGTACTTCTTGACATAAAAATGAAATGCAAAGAACACAATCAAATACAGATCGTTTATGTGGTTCGATCCAACTGGATCTACATCCACGAGAGGGAATCAATGAAATAGTTTACTAAGGCAAAAGAAATGGAGAATACATAGTTTATACATAGAGATGAGTCATCATCTTCCTTCTATGGTCTCCCTCTCAAGTGACACCTCGATACAATGCCTCAAGATGCTCTCCTCCTCTCTAGCTCTTTAGTTATTCTCTCCCCCTTTGTGATAGCTTAAGATCTCTTCCCTTTGCTCTCCTAAGCCAAAACCAGCCCTCTATATTTATAGAAGCAAAAGAGTGGTAGGTGAGCGGTAGGTGGGAGGTAGGTGGCCGGTAGGTGGCCGGTAGGTGAGCAGTAGGTAGAGATGTGGTAGGTGGCGGTGCCACATTACAATCAAAATAATAGCACTCAAAGGAAAAGCCTAGTAATAAAAAGGATGGGAAGGCCCCTTTTATCACGGGTTGAACCAGCATATTTTTTAAGATGAGCAAAATCACCATATCTATTTTTTTTTAAGTATTTGCCAAAAAAAAAATATTTTATTTAAAATATGTTAATTTAAGGAGGCAAATTGCCCACCCAAGATATAGCATGGTTTCACCCATGTGTATCATTCTCATCCCTCTAGATGAAATGTAAATAAAACTAAGTAAAATATATGCTAAGTATTGTCTTTTATTTAAAATTTGGGTTGTCTAAAATATTTTGGGATTAGACAAACTTGCCAAATTTTTTGAAAGAGAATAAAAGCTCAAATTCCATTCACAAAACTTGCTAAAAATTTTGAAAGAGAATAAAAGCTCCAATTCCAATCATAAAGAGGTTTTCATAATATCATATAGCATTAATATATATAGGGATGAATATCAACATTTAAATGAAAATGGTTATTTGACATATTGGCGAATGTCAAATGAAGTCTGATTTCAATGTGAATAGGTTTGTTCCAACCGTTTTGATGTCTAGATGTGTTCACACAATCATTTTCAAAAAATAAAGCCATGTTAAAAATTTGTAGGTAACATTATTTTTTATAATTTATACTAATTATAATAAATTTCTAACAAAAGTATTTTAAAAGCATCAAATGTTGATCTTAAACCTATATGAAAAAGTTGAAGGTTTTTGAAATATAGAGTATGTGCCCAAAAAAAAAATCTGACTCTCCCTTAGGGGAGTACTCGGCAAATTCTGTTTATGAAGATTGGGGCGACTACAAATAAGATGGTAACGTTCTTGTAAGAATGACAAATTATATACATTTTTATGGAAGGACGGATATTTAGAAGAAATGGAGGTTAGTCCCATACCTGTGCGTCGCGTCCTCTATTATACATTTTCCTTTAAAATATACATTCCTCGCCAAGTAGTACTTGCGCTCGTCTTATATTCTTTCAAAAAGTGGCGTTGGGTTTCTTAATTGTCTGAAAGGGAGACAAAACAAAGCTTGGGAATGCCTCATAAGCAGTAGTGGATGAGAGTTGCAGCACCCAAATTTTCGATTACTCTTTCCACCTTATAGTCACTTCACATTAATGGCATTCACAGCTTCACACCAGTTGGGGTTGCATTACCAAGTCATCAAAATACATGCTTGATTAACTGTGGCTAAGCCCTGGAGTCTTTGCAGCTTTCCTCAAATTCATAGACCGCCTGATCATCGCGGCATCCACAGGTCGGCCAGCTTCCACGTAAACGGCGCTGAGCAGGATATAATACCCTCCCTCCTCGGGTTTCAGCTTCATAAGCTTCGCCACAGCCCTCTCCCCCATCTTCACATCGCCATGAATCCTGCATCCGCCAAGGAGAGCACCCCACACCTTATCGTTGCTTTCAAACGGCATTTCCTCCACAAGATGCCAGGCTTCAGTCAGCATCCCTGCCCGCCCAAGCATATCCACCATGCACCCGTAATGCTCCACGCCAACCTTCTCACCTCTCTTCCTCATTTCAGCAAACAGCTTTCGGCCTTCTTCCACCCGGCCGGCGTGCGCACAAGCGCTCAGCACGGCCAGATTGGTCACTCCGTCCGGCCGCACCCTCGGTCCTTCTCTGGATGACATTCGCATGAAGAGTGCGATGGCTGCATCAGCATCACCATGTGTGGCGTGAGCCCAAATCATGGAGTTCCACGTAACAAGACTACGCCTCTCCTCGCACATTTCGTCGAACACCTGCCGCGCCTGCAGCAGGCACCCGCACTTTCCGTACATGTCGATCAGCGCATTGCGGAGGGCCACCATCCAGCCAAGCCCCTTCGCCTCCACGTACCTATGCAGTTCTTCTCCGGCCTCAAGGTCCCCTATAGCACCACACGCTGTGACCAAGCAGACCATTGTCACTTCGTCTGGAGGCATTGGCATTTTCTCGAATAGCTGCAGTGCGTCTCGGGGGCGGCCTGCCCTCGCGTAGCCTGAGATGGCTTTGAACAAGCTATTTGAACAAGCTAATTAACTAGATAACGAGCTGAGCAAAGCTCCGGGTGTCAATAGGTCTGAATCCTTATCATTAGACTATTGATTTTTTGAAAAACAACCGAATGTAAAAGAAATTTCGTGTAAAAATAATGTTATATTTGAAATATTTTAAATTATTTCACACAATATAAAACTACGAACTTTTTGTTTATTGACAACCTGAGATCATGGCCGTCCACGACACCACGTTACGAACTTTTTGTTTATGCATGACAACCTGAGATCATGGCCGTCCACGACACCACGTCCAGCTGCACCGCGGGGATCATTTCGTCGAAAACAGCCCTTGCGGCGTCGGGATCATTCGCGCGGAGGTGGGCATTGACGAGACCGGACCAGGAGACGGCATCCGGCGGCACAGGCATTTCATCGAGTACCTGATGGGCGGAATCAGGCAGCGCTAGGGAAGCATAAAGATGGATGAGCGCATTGTGGACGTGGAAATGTGTTCCCTGAGATCCCAAGCAACCGAACTTAAAGACTTGCGCGTGGATGGAAGCGTCATAGTTAGAAGACGAAGATAAGGATCGCGCCTGAGCTTTCAGGAGGAATGTGAAGGTGAAGTGGTCGGGAGGAATCGAGCGGCGGCGCATGGCGATAAAAAGGTGCAGGGAAAGGAATGGGGATGAGGTGTTGGCGTAGCCTCGGATGAGAGTGTTGTAAAAGAAGGCGGCCGTGGTGCTGCTGTGGAAGAGAGTGATGTCTTGGTGGTGGTGGTGTTGGGAAAAGAGGAGGGTGGCGTAGTGGAGGTTGCCGAGCGGAGAGACGGCGGCGAAGAAGAGGAGTTTGGAGATGATGAGGGGGTTGGAGATGTGGTGGCGAAGGAGACGGGCATGGATTCGCTTGAGCTGGAGCATGGATTGGCATTCTTCGGAGAGGTTAAGGAGGATTCTCCATACCTCCTTTCCCTGATCCGCAGTAGCCATCTGTAAGCCGTAGCTTATTGCTAAGACGAAATTGAAGGAATCTGATAAAAATGTCGGGAATTAAACAGCCGCTAGCTAGCTCCATTAAAGCATCCATTAAAAATATTTTGACAACTTGGCTGTATCTATTAGAACAAATTGAAAATGTTTTGATTCTAGCTCCTAGCTAAAACTAAATAATAAAAGAATTAAAAAAATCCCAATTGTATTGAGGATAAGAAATGGACCAATAACTGAAATCATTAAACATCATTGCCAATAGAAAGTGGAACATAAATGCACATAATACAGCATATAGGAACATAGGAAGTACATCAAACCAACTCTGAAATGTGAAAATAAAAATGAAATCTAAGCTCTCAATGAACATCACATTAACACTAAAGGACACTTAGCAGTTGTTCATGATAACTATATTTCATTTAGGACAACGACAAAACTGCAGAATAGTAAACATCTGATTCTAAATCTTTATTTTCTGTAAGTACTTGCAGTGATCCTGGAACTGGAGGAACATTCACCTCAGCAAGATTCTCCAAGATCTGAACAATTTGCCCCATAGATGGCCTATGAGACTCACTGTCCTGAATACACCATGAAGCTATTCTGAATACACCATGAAGCTATTCGTCCTGAATACACCATGAAGCTATTCGAGATGCAGTAACCAGCTCCTCAATAAGAACATCACATTTCAATCTCTCATCTAATAGAACAAGGAATTCCCCTTCCCATATTTTAGTTGCTGCCCATGCTGGAAAAAATACGAACTCAAATTGATGATTTATGTTTCTTCTACCTGATATTATTTCAAAAAGCATCATTCCAAAACTGTAGACATCAGCCTTAGGTGTGATTGGCAGGCCCGAGATCCATTCTGGTGCAAGGTAGCCTACAGTTCCTCTCATGGTTGTCAAGACACGGCTAAAATTCTTTCCTATTAGTTTTGCCATACCAAAATCTGCCAATTTAGGACAGTTATTCTCATCTAGCAGTATGTTTTCTGGTTTTATATCACAGTGCACAATACATTCCCTGCAATTCTCATGGAGGTAAGCCAGTCCTCTTGCGATTCCTTTGATTATTTCGTATCTTGCTCTCCAACTTAAAACCTTACAGTTTTCTTTGAAGAGGTGAGAATCTAAGGAGCCATTTTGCATGTAGTCATAGACAAGCAATCTCTTTGTACCTTCTGAGCAGAAACCTCGAAGGTTAATTAGATTGATGTGTTGAATAAAACCAAGTGTGCTCACTTCTGTTCGGAATTGCTTCTCTCCCTGTTGAACTCCTTCGAGTCTCTTCACGGCTAGAGCGTTCGAATTAGGTAATGTTCCTTTGAAAACAGTGCCAAATCCCCCACCACCCAACTTATCTGAGAAATTCCTTGTCATATACTGTAATTCCGCGTAAGTGTATCGAACCAAAGGTCCTTCTGTTGTCTTCCTTATGCTAATAAACCTTCTGCTTCGGTATCTCAATGCAAGTAAGAGTAAAGCACACAGGATAGCTCCAACTCCAGCTAGAATAGCTGTACATATTATAATCACAGACCTCTTATTATCACCACTTGAACTTGGAAGGTCAGAAGATGCAAGGCGCACATATAATGTCTGAGCACTTTCATCACCATCATACAGCTGTTGCAGATTTTGAAGGTCTTCATTCCAGGTTAAGCAGCCACTGCCGTTGTAAGCATAAGCAGTGCACAAGCACTCACTTAAGCAAACTGACCTGCAATCTTCTAAGTTGTAGGCAGTCAGATGTACAGGATTTGAAGGAAGAAACATGTTGGGCATTTTAAGAAATCCTACTTTATCATCAGTGACGTTGCCGCTGCATTGCATTTTGGTCTTCCTTGCACAGCCACTGCTCCAATCATTCAATTCCCAGTTTCTGAAAGATGCAGGTTGGAAGCCATGAGCACAGCTACAAACAAAAGAGCTTTTTTCATCACATATTCCGAAAGGGCCACAAAGAAAATAGACATCACATTTCAAAGTTGGTCTGGAAAAGAACAGAACCCAATCCTGAATATTGTCCACCCACACAAATTGCTTGATTTGCCCATTAACATCCATCACATGTCTTGTAATCTTAGAACTGGATGGGTCACGATAAAAACAGCTGGTGTATCTTCTCTCTTTGTTATCAACATAAATAACGGTGACAATAGTATGCGGCTTCATGTCAGGAAGTATTGGAACAGCCGTGAAGTAATTTCCATTCCAAAGCCCACTGCGCCAATATTTTTTAGATTTGTTCCATTCAAGGAAAAACTCGCTTGTTCCACTGGGATCTATTGTTTCAGAAAAATATCCAGGAGAAGGATCTTCTGAATTTTTCCATGAAGTGAGTGTTTGATATTCTCCTGTTATTTTATTCATGCCAATCCAACTTCCAGGCACGTAAGTGTCAGTTGGGTGATCAAAACTCTGCCAAATTATACCACCAGTAGTGTTATTTGTAAGATCCCTTAATACCAAATTTCCATTGTCAAGCAGAGCCGCAGCTGTAGAATTTGATGCTTGGTGTGTTGAATTGGATGACCAAATTAAGTTTTTTAAATTGTCGAGTAGGGCAAGATGGCCATTATTAGATAATTTGAACTCAGCGGAAGAAGTATCATACACTGGCTTTTCTCTATTTGCTACCCAAATCACAGTCTGCTTTGAGATCTTTTTGTACCAGATGCCGATGTAGAAGTTAGATGTCTTACCAGGAGAGAAGAAGCCAAGCACAAAGTTGCCTTCTTTGGAGATAATAGTTTGGCTCCCAGTGAGAGATTGCCCGACGTAAATGGTATCAGCTGAGGCAGAAAGAGAAGCATTTGCAGAAAATAAAACCGAGAAGAATACTATGCGGAGTAAAGAGGAGATCATAGATCTAAGATGGACGACCAGCATAAAAGCCATTACGGAGTTTCTTTCAGTAACAAGTGCAGAAATAGCAGTGTTAGAACGAGCTATGTTTAATAATGAAACTATTCGTGTATATGCATACTTTTCATTTGTCTTCATTGGAAGAAATCCTGAGTCTGAAAACATATTAGTCTTGCATTATTAAAATACTTGGTCGATTTATGTTGCATTTCCTACACGCAGCATTAATTGTCTGCGAAAGGTGCCTGTTTTTTACTTTTCCAAAGCAGTTCTGAGGTGTACCATTAAACATGTGGCAATACGATAACGAAATGAAGACGAAGGAAAATTATTAGAAGATTAGATGGGACTGAAGATTTATTAGGTTAACCAAAGATAAGTAATCCAATATCATCTGACTAAGTATTTAAGTACATATCACCTAAATCTTATGTATTTGCACGTCTAACACCTAAACTGTAATTTTTACCTTTATACAATCCAAATCCTTCATATCACGCCACCTTTTTTTTTTAAGAAACATATAATTTTTTATGTATGGATAAGTGCAATATAGGTAAGAATTGAAGTTTAGGTGTTAATATGTGAATACATAGGAATTGAGTGGTAGGTATGTAAATCTTCCAACCTTTTTTTGCAAGTAATTAAGGAAACGGACACCATGGGTGTTAATACCCGAAATGCATAATTTTTTTTTAACGCCAATGATTACAAATTTATTTTAAAATTTTAAATTATTATCTTAGTGTTGGACTAAAATCTAAGCAAGATGAGACATCTTGATTTTCTTATGTGGATAATCTTGAAAAGGGGGAAAGAGCATGGGGTTAGGTGATCTAACCCAATTGAAATAATTCACTATGTAATTGTAAATACATGTGTTCACTCTGTTTTTAAATTAGAAAAGATAAAATTACAACATTAATGTACAACAATAGCTCATCAATACTAGTCGTAATCTCGTTGTAATTCTTAGTGATAATGTTGACATCAGAGTACAAGAACCGTTATTAATTATTATAAAGGCAATAGTCAATCATGAATATTGTATATGCTGGTTATTGTGTCAGCTAGTCATAAGTATCTTAGTTGAAAACTATAGTAGTAGAAAGAATTAGTGTCTGATATTTGCATCAGATATTTCCGACACAACTATTAGCATTGGATTTGTGGCTGCTAAGCAACAAAAAATAATTTATGAAATTTGCATCAAAATTAGCGTCTGATTTACGGCAGACAATTTGTCAGTATAAGTGTTCCGAAAACGAGAAAACTTCTTTTGGATTTGCTACGGATTTTGCGTCAACTTTGCGTTGAAAAAAAAACGTCACAAATGCTTTACTAGTTAGCGTTGAATTAAACTGACGCAAATTTGACACAAATGACCAAATTTACTCATCTCGCACGCCTAAATTTAATTTACTCTCTGCTTGTCTCCCCCTCCCGCTCATTTCCCCATTAGCCAGAAAGTCTTGCACACGAATCTTAGACTCCCCTTCCCTCTCCCCTTTCCCTTTCCCTCTTCCCTCAAGGGTTTGTTGACAAATCCATTGCCTTCCTGAAAGAACATGGGTTTGTTGACAAATCCATTGCCTTCCTGAAAGAACCTTCACAATACAATCACCATTAGAGCTAGCTTGGAAGGTAACATATGAATGGCTTGCAGAGACCATTGAAACTCTCGTAGTTCTCATCCTTCTGCTCCACTCCAACTAGAACACATTGAGGAAGGTATGTATCCTACATTAACTCTATATAGAACTAATTTAGGGTAAGTAATTTAGGGATTGGCTTTAAGTTTAAGTTCCTATTTTTTTGCTTTAGTAATAAAGTTATTATCGAACATTTACAAGTGCATGTACATTGGTGTATGCTTTTTGTTGATGATATCATTTTTGTGGATAATACTAGAGAGTGTTCAGTAAAAACTTAATTATGAAGGTCAATCATAGAGTTTAAATGCTTTCATTTGTGTAGATCTAAAACAAAATACATTAAATGCAATTTTATTGGTAGTTAATCAAGTGGCGTTGTTATAACAATAGATAATCAAATCATTAAAAGGAATGAACATTTTAGATATGTCGGGTCTACTGTTGAAAATGTTGGTGATATAGATGGGAATGTATTAGTAAAACTCAAGTGGGATGGTTGAAGCGAAGGAATTCATAAGACCTATTGTGTGATTGAAATGCCACTTAGACTTTAACACAAATTTTATAAAACAACTGTGAGGCCTACATTGCTTTATGGTGCAAAATGTTAGCCTATAAAAGAAACACAAAAGTAAGCTAATTTAGACTTATGTTAGGGTGGATGAGTGGCTTTACACTTACAGAAAATTTGAAATGAGTATATCCACGAAACGGTTGGAGTAGCTCCATTGGCATACAAGATTAAAGTGTCACCTTAGATGATTTGGTCACATCAAACGTTGACTAACTGTTGTCCCAAGTAAGATTTGGAAGAGTAACTTATTGAGAAAAGGGAAGTATAAGAATATGGACAAATTGATGACTCATTTAAAAATAAAAAAGAGAAAGGGACGAAAACATTGTAATTGATATTCTTGATTTTTTTTCTATGTTACAGCTTTACGTAAGATTTGTGTCTGTTTTTGGATGCAAAAGCGATGTTACATCAACAATAATATTTCTTCTTTCTACGATATATTCCAACTCAAATGAGACAGTAATTTGACGCTAATATTCATCATTCATACTCAAATTTTGACCCACGTTATGTATAAACAAATCCGATGTTAATACAACTCAAAACTCCGACACAAATTATTTGCGTAGAAATATTTCGACATAAATTAGACGGAAAAAAAAAAATTCCCGGCCCTCAATTTAACGACAAAAAATAGGACAAAAACCAAACACAAATTTGACGCTAACCTTTAAATAGCGTCAGATTTGCATCTTATTTGTCTATGATCTAGTCGACACAAGTATGTTTAATTTATTTAGTGCATGTATATCGTAGATGGTTGTTTCGAGAGCGTCAGTTGGCCACAGAGGTCATGGTAGGGAGCTGCAGGAACTGTGAGCCACGCATAGGCCTTAGTTGGTTACATAGGTCATAGTGGCGAGTTGTGATTATGTTCGTAAGTTACAAAGGTCAGAATTTGGAGCTACATGAGCCGTAAGCCATAGTTGGATAAAAATATATTGAAATGGGTGAGTATGTATGTAAATTCCCGAAAAAAACATAGCCTTCAAAAACTCTTAAAAGAAAAAAAAATGATGCAAGTCATATTGACTTACAGGAGAACTTTCTCTTTTGGCCAATAAGTTTTAGGTTCAAAACCGCACATATGTGCGGTAAGTGAGTTTGTATGTTTGTGAAAACTAATTTGTGTATTTGTATTATTAAAGAACTTTGTAGTAGAATGGGATCCTGTAGAAGACCTATCTCCTTGACTACTGTAGAATTATTACAAATAGCACGTATTTATAAAATTTTTGTGTTACAATACATTGTTGTTTTATATATATGCATATATAACTCTATTTTTGTGTGTTTACATTTAATATTTATTTATATGACATTTAGATTTTTATATCAAATTATAATATTATTAATTTTATTTTCTAAAGAGAAATGACTTCCTAATGATATCTTTTGATTTATTATATCATTAATATTATATTTTAAAGAGGAATGATTTTTTTATTCAGTTAGTAATAATAAAATAAAATATAAATAAATAATAAAATTTAGATGTTAGTTGCATAAATTTTATGAGAATTATATAAATTATATAAAATATACGTATTTTTTTTAAATATATACTGTTTAAGGATATTGCATTTTTCTGCACTAGATATATAGCCATCCATCCGTTTGTTAGCTTGCAGCCGCCTAGGGCAGGACCGCAAATTAGAAAGCAAGTCAACAAAGTCGGCCAAATCCAAGGAGACATTTAAGTCGTTTATAACAATAATAATAATAATAAAAGAAGAATTCTATTTTTTATTTAAACTTTATTTTGATGATTTTCTGTTATTACCATTTTGAACTAGAAAAAATTATAAATGATTTTTTGTTAAAATATTCCCCAAAAATGTTTGTTATTATGCCCTTCTTGATGGCTAAGATGGGCTGGGGATACGCATGATAAAAAAATAATATATATATATATATATATATATATATTTTTTTTTTTCAAAATAGCATAAAAATTATGATATTGAAAATATTGTGATGAAAATCCATCATATATTTCTTGAATGTAATTTGATTGAATATTAACTACTACAAATCCCTAAATAATGACAGTACCTCTCTCACATCAACTTATGATGAATGGTTTAAGGACAAGAACTTTATCAACTTTAATATACACAACCCCATTTCTCCTATGATTATTATAATTTGAAAGTGCTAGACTCGAGTCACCGCCAGACATAGGTGTCAATTCGGGTCAGCGGGTTGGGTTTGAGTCCGACCCGAAAATGATCCACCCCGAATATGATCAACCTAAACCTAACCAAAATAATAAACAGGTTAAAAACTAAGGCCCGAATCTGACCCGAGCCCAAGCTTGCCACTCTAAACCAAAACTGACCCGAACTTTTATGCTTATTTGAGCATGTTTGGGTTTTCAGATTCAACCCGAACCCATATCAAATAATAAACAAGAAAAAGAGAATAAAATAACAAACATTTGAATGAAGGGATTATGTAACCTTTTTTTTCATAGAATGATCATCTATTTGTAGACAAATGGGTTATAGGTCTATTATAGTTTGAATATTATCATTTATATATGTTAATTAAGATATTGTTTTTTTTAACTTGAAATATGTATATGTAACTTTACCTTACTACTATGCTTTATGTTAATAAACTTATAATGACTTGCAAAGGAGGGTTACCGGACTAGTTTTTATTTAAATATAATTTATTAATGCAAACTCCATACAAAATTAAAAACATAAGATATAAATATTATACGATTTAAGTGCCTATAATTTGGGTTAGGATGATGAATCTCATATAACTGGCCACTTTACTATTCTTATTAATTTGATATTATACAATAGTTTACTTAACTCACTATGATTAATCTTACGAAATATCATATATTATAACATAATTCAGTAGAATGTTTGACTTGTATATTATAATTGAAGTAAGACACTTCTTATGATAAAATTAGCTATATACACCTCCACTAGATACCACGATACCTTCCAAAACACGAGATACCAAAATGAGATAATTTGACGGCGATCAATGTTTTGTGCATGATACCTATATATGAGTATAAACATAGATAATTTTATTTTTAGAGCATTTTTTATTATCATAATAAAATAGTTATTACTTATTTGCAAGCATATTGTTTTATATTTTTGCATTGAATATAGTGCCATTTTTTTGTATAACCTAGTGGGTTGTTTGTCTTCGTGAGAAATGATAAGGCTTCAATGGAATGAAGCTTTTAATCTCTTAGATAGAGGTACCTTTACATTGATATAGCCAAACACTTGCAATTATAGACTAATTATATTTTGTAGAAGTTGTCAGAGAACTATGGTCAATTCATTTAAATATTTAGAATGTGAATTATTCTTATGTATTTGAATACATGGTGCATAATGACTTCTGCTTTATTATTATAGTTTGATGATGTAGCGGCTTTGTATTATGAATTTTGGATGATTGAAGATCTCTTTCATTATAGATTTTGGATGAACTCTCCTTGCATACTAAACCTGATATCATTTATTATGTTATATAGGTCATATTGGATTAGGTTGCAACAGTTTAATTACATGAGTAAACTAAAGCTCAATTTTGGATCACTTAGGAGCTACATAAAAAATAAAATTATATTGGCTCTAGTTACTAATAAGTAGGGATCTGAATTTAGCTTGAAAATCGTTATTTGATCGAAAATTAATTTAAAATTCGGCTCGGATCTAAATAAACGAGCCAAGCTATAAGCTAAAATTTTGGATAGAGTTTTTTCGAGATGACCCTAGCTCGGCTCGAAATCGGATCATTAACATTTCTAGCGATGTTAGGGCTTTGAATTTAGCAAATTTAGCTCGAAGAATGTTAATTGCTCCAATATTTATTCGAATTTTGGCTCGGATCGAAGTAAACGAGTCGAACTAGTAGCCAAAAGTTGGATAAATTTTTTTCTATTAGATTTTAAGCCGTCCCCACATCTGCTCAAAATCAGATTAATTACAAGCCTACCAATAAGAATGAATTTATATAAAGAAAAAAACTCAAATAAGCATATGTTAAGAGTTTAGGTGGTTCTATTTTCTTTTTTTTTTGTAATTATTTTTATTATTTTACTATTTTTAAAGTGGTTTGCATATATCAAAAATACCAACAGTAATCTCAAAGAGAACGAATGACCAAGATGAAATGATCTCCTTTCAAAGTAAGCAATCAACCGACGATTCAAGGTCGAACATGAAACCAGATTTTCAAACCTATGATAGGTTCAAGCTCTGGAGATGGTTCCCCACTCGGTAGCAACAAGACCTTCCAAAAGTGAGGCGTGAATCATCTCGACAACAAGTCTCACCGGATATCCCATGAGAGCTGCGACAAAATCCGCTCAAGTCCTAGCAAAATTGAGAGATTCTGTTGAGGCAACGAACCAACCAGGTAGGCAAGTCACGAGCCCTGTAAGACTAAAGCCGAACGAAAAAAGACACATGCCGAACGAAAAATGACTCATGGCTCACTAAAAAAAAATCGACCGATCACATGCAACCAACCGACCCCGTAGTCGAACCAAATGACCACCTTACAACTGACCGCTTTGGTCGACTATGCAAAGAGACTGAGAAAGATCGCCATATGGTCAAACACCTCAACTGACCAACGTGTACTCCAAAGAACACATATGTCACTTAGTTGGTCGCCTCAGTCAATTGACTTCAAGCCAACCGATTAGCCAATTATCAATAATGTTAAAATTCAAATTGTAAAACAAATGACATAAAATATATACAATCAATTAGAGCCTTAATGACATTAAAAAAGGGTTCCATAATCATATTCTTAAAACACTCCTCTATATGTACGAGATAAAAATACGAATAAAGAGACATTTCCATCGCTTCTCTCCACAAAGATCTCAAACATATCCTACTCTCTCTTCCTTATCTTCTCCACTCAGCTCTAACTCTTGGAGCGTGATTTACAAAGGATAAAATAAAAACCAACATGGTTTTATCTTTGTATAAGTTTGGAGTTTCAAAAATTAATTCAATAGGTAAACTTGATTTGAACTTTGGGCTTAAAAATTTTGAATTCAGATTAACCAGATTAATTTTTTGGAAAGATTTTGGTTAGGAATCTTAACCTGTTAATTTTCGGGCGGATTAATTTTTTGGTTAGGAATCTTAACCTGTTAATTTTCGGGCTGAGTTTGGGTTGATCCACCAATCTGAAATTGACAGAAAATTGACTCGCTAATCTGCCATTAACTCAAAATAAACTCACCAATCTAAAATTTACTCGATTGAGCTGTAATCGACACAAATTTGCTCAAGTAGTTGTTGTACGTTGTGCTAAACAAGTTATATGGGCTCTGTTTTAATCAACAGATTGAAGACGGATTTGACTTTTTGACTTGTTTATTATTCTAGTTAGATTCAGATCAAGTAGTTTTGAGTCGGGTCAGTTTCAAATCAGACCTGAACCCAACTTACAAACCTGACTTAGACACTCCTATGATATATATCCATTGTACAAGAGCTAAGAGACTATTTTCATATACTATTTGTGAAACCCCTTAAATAGAATGAAGTTAATCTCTTAAATTTTGAGATATCTTTTGGTAAAATGGTGAAATTTCAATAGAAACTCTATAGTTAAGCGGCTCATGATGAATCATTCTTTGGAAAAAGTTATCAAAACCGTGAAGCTATTAAACCAAAGCCAATAATATCTTAATGGGTGAGAGTTGGGGGCATCACACTTTAAAAATGAATTCAAACTCAAAATCATGCTTCTTTGATGCTGCTTCTCACAAGATGGTCAGCTCAAGTAAATATTGATAGTGATTAAATATTAATTTACCAAATAAGTAAAGTTAATATATAATGTAAAACAACCGTATACATGCTCCATATAGGACAAAATTAGAAAGGACAGGGCCCCGCGGTTGACCATACCTGATACCGCATTGGTCTCGAGTGATGTCAAACCACACGAAAAAAATCTCAAGTCCTCCACCTAAAATCCAACTCGTTTTAAAGGCCAAAAGTTTATTTCTTCCCCTTATAGAAATTAAATAACCATTCCTTATTTTTTTACGATTCATCCTTACTACATGGGAAGCCTCTTCCTCCCCCTCCTCCTCTCTTTCCCCCTCCTCCTCCCCCTACCGTCCACCTCCACAGACACTATCAGTCCCTCCCAACTTGTAGCCACCGGCCAAACCCTCATATCTGCCGGAGGAACCTTCGAGCTGGGCTTCTTCAACGCCTCCTCACCATCCAGCTCTTTCTTAGGCATATGGTTTCACAAAATCCCCATTCGCCAGATCGTCTGGGTAGCGAACCGCCGGTCTCCAATCACAACCGGAAAGGCCACCCTTTCTCTCTCTACAGACGGCAATATTCTCATCACCGCCCCCGACGTCAACGGCGGCCGCCTAAAAAAAGTCTGGTCCTCTAACACCTCCGGCATAAAAATCCCATCTTTGAAGCTTCTGGACTCGGGCAACCTCGTGCTAACCGACAGCGGATCAAATGCAATTGTTTGGGAGAGCTTTTACGACCCCTCCGACGCCTTCCTCCCGCAAATGGAACTCGGATTAGACCTTACACGTCACCTTGAGAAGAAGCTTATGTCCTGGAAATCCTCCGACGACCCGTCGCCGGGCGGGTACACCTACGGCGTGCGCCGCACCGGTTCGTCGGAGCTCGTTGTCTGGAACGGCTCAAACATCGAGTACCGCACCGGGCCATGGACCGGATCTTCATGGAGCGGCATTCCTCAGATGAACTCGGATCTCCACTTCATCTTCACCTTTGTCGTTCAACCCCACGAAATTTACTACACGTACGAATCGGTCAATAAGTCTGTAATGACTTTGATAACCCTCGACCCCAACGGCGGTTTACAACGGCTGGTTTGGCTGGGCGGAGAATGGAGGCAGTACTGGCGGCTGCCTGAGGACAAGTGCGACGGGTATGGCACGTGCGGGTCGTTCGGGATATGCAACGTGTACTACCCCGAAGGGGTTTGCAAGTGTTTACCGGGGTTTGAGCCGTCGTCGACGTTGGATTGGGCCTTGAGGGATTACTCAGGCGGCTGTAAGAGGAAAACGGCGTTGAATTGTTCAGGAGGAGGAGGTGATGGGTTCGTGAAGGTGAGCGGGGTGAAGCCGCCGGACACGGAGAACGTCACGGTGATCGCCGGAAAGGGAACCGACGATTGTGGTGCTTTGTGTTTGAGAGAATGCCAGTGTATGGCTTATGTTGTGCTTGGTGGGAATTGTTTGTGGTGGGCTGCTCAGCTAATGGACATCAAGGAGTTTGCTTCCTGGACCGGAGGAGGCGTCGATATCTATCTCCGACTAGCTGCTGCTGATTTGGGTAAGTTTTATTCTTAATTATTCCAACACAGTTTGGTTCTGCTCTTCGCTCACTAATTAATTGAATAATATGGAACTTATTAGCCCTTGTTATCTAATTATTATTCAGTTAATCATCCCAAGAAGTTCTCTGCGTTACGCCACGTGGCTCGACGCATAAAATTGCATACATGTCCTTAAGTGCTTTTAAGTACAATTAGGATTATTGAATTGAATGTTAATTATTCCAATGGACAATTCTGACCAGTTAACGTTCATCCAGTTTGTCAAATAAACCGATGCTAACAATAACTTTAAATGGAACCAACCTGCACTAGATAAAGCTGGTTTAAGCTGGTCGGATTGAATTGGGCTTAAATTTAGGCCGGAGCCGTCGAAGGAGAATGGACTGGTTTGCGGGGTCTGGGTGTGAAAAAATTGAAGTCGTCGTGCGGAAGGCCTTTCGGAGGCTAATTATTGAGTATTGTAATTAATGATCTTCATGAAAGTGCTGCTTACTATTCAAATATTTTATAGCTGCCTTAGAAAGAGGACATCTCTATTTTCCACGGTGACATCAGGCGAATTTGACTTGGCCCATGATACAGATCCCCCATTGGCAGTGGGGTCCTGCAGTTGATGTGTTCGGACGCGTGCTTGTTATTTTCGTGGACAAGCAATGCTTGTGGTTAGATGAAGTTTAAATGTCCTTATTAAATCGTGAACAGAAGGACTAGCAACTTCTGATTTTGAGACCTTCTTCATTCACCCATCTTTTAGCCTCTCACGGTCTATGAGAGGTATCAGTTTGCTGCAGAAGGATGCGCCAAATTTATCAGGAATTTGTATATAATCGTATACAAATGTCACATAGCATCCCTGATTTAGTTGAATTCACCGCTTTCTCATTTCTTCATCGAGTAATGCTTTAAATGTCCTTATTAAATCGTGAACAGGAGGACTAGCTACTTCTGATTTTGAGACCTTCATTCACCTATCTTTTAGCCTCTCACGGTCTATGAGAGGTATCGGTTTGCTGCAGAAGGATGCGCCACCTATTTAGTTGAATTCACCGCTTTCTCATTTCTTCATCTACAAGTAATTGTTGACCTACATATGTGTCAAAACTAAGGCCGCCTGTAAAAAATGACTGAGAATGATAGATGATGTTTAAAGCGTCATGCAAATCATGCAAATCGGACTCGAGGCGCTTCAATCATCATCAAATTGCTCTAAGTAAACTTGTTCGCAAAATGGACCACGTCAACCAATTCGGTGCATTAAAATTATCAGAGGAGATTTAACTCTAGTTAAACTTAAGTTCACTAAATTCATAATGATAAATTTCATAATCCAAAACTTAGATTTACTACTACTTTATGCTGAGGAATCAACATTGTAATGAACAACTTTTATTTAAATTGCTCTGTTGTTATCAGTAGAGGTAATTAATCATAAAAGACTCAAGTTGACAGAAAAACTCAAACCTTTGATAAAAAAAATTGTAAAATAAGTGCAAAATATCCCGTAGTATCTTGTCTTCATACCTGATCCGTCTTCAAAAAAATTAACCCGAAATTTCATGTAAAACTCTGTTGGCATTGTTTCGAGAGGTGGAGCACAAATAGTTTCTCATCACCTTCATATCTATCCTGATTAGGAGTGTTGCCTCCTCACACAACTCTGTCATGCCTTAAGGCACAGGGTGTTGAAGTTTCTAAATCTTTCTATTCATGACTAGAAGATAAATAAGAAATTGTTGGTGTTAGATTGTGATCTAACTTTCAATTTAGTGTGTTTTCAGTTTATTGTTTACTAATGATTTCAGAGAAACGTGGATTCTGTACTATTCTTTTGGTAATTTGGTATTATGTTATCTTTTGGAAATTGATTCTTCTTTTTTGCTATATTTGTGAAACTTGATATAAGACATTTCGTATTCTAGCATTGGGCCTAGGAAAAATGTAGAAATATAACAAGAGTGTGGGAGATGAATATCAAGAAATATAGCTATGAGTTGGCAAGGAACAAACACATTGGGTGAAAATCCACTAAATTTGATATAAATGAAATGGCGAGGGACATAAACATGATCAATTAAAAAAATAACAGTAAAAATATGACATTCTATCATAATAATTACAAAACATACATAGAAGATTAATTTTTCAATATTAGAAATCTTATGCTAGCACTTTTTATACAATAAAGTTCATAAAGAATTATCTTGGCAAATCATTGATTATCATATTCAAATATATAAAAAAAACTTAAAAAATTGACTAGATTGATACAGCTATCAAAGACTGATTAGTCATATATCTTCGCTTTTATATCTGTATATATCCTTAGTCAGTTATCACAACCCTAACGTCCGAAAAGATAGACATTAATCCCATAAATATCTAATGATTTTCCATATAGAATCGATACTCTAAAATTCATCGGTCCAAGTAGTTAACATTGTTGTGGTATATTGAAATAGAAAGATCGATCGACAACGAAGCAAAAAAATAGAACAAGAAAAATCACACAAAAAAAAAACACACAGATTTACGTGATTCGGTAAATTACCTACATCCACGGAGTTGCAGAAAATTTTACTACTTGAGGGATTTACACTGTTTGATCACAACGACAATTACTGGAGAAAGTTTCACACTTACTCACTCTCTCTTCTTCTCTCTATACATCGAGATACACCAAAGAAGAAAAAATACGTACAAAAGAAAAATCTTATTTCTCTTCTGCTGCAAACCAAGCAATCTTCTTCTTCTTCTTCTTTCTGCAAAGCATGCCAAAACCTTTTGCGATAACACCTTGCCTTCTTTCTTCTCCACAAGCCTCACGCACCAAGCCTTCTACAGTCGATCGGGATACTTCCCTCTCTTTCTGCAGAACAGGTGAGATCTCGCGATGATTAAGAGCCTTCTTGCGTGGGAGTAACGAGAGAAAGATGAGTTACGGAACCACTTGAGAGCAAGAGTAAGGTGTAAAACACCCAGAGCGGGAGTAGTTACGACATTTTATTTATATTTTTATTTTTTTATCATTTTTGTTGAACTGGCTCCACACTAACAAATCTTTCACTTGGAGTCCGGTATACAGATAACAACATCTTCTTCGTCAAACTGATATCCTCCACTGGCGGCGTAGCCCTTTTCCTCAAATGTGTTATCCTCCGTTTCACAACTCAAGACCCTTATCTTCAAGCTAGAAGATCAACGGAAGCTGCACATAACTTGAGTTTCTCCATAACAACACCTGTTGTCGACATATCGACAGGGTTCTGGCTTCCACAAATTTTCTCAAGCAACAACTGTCCGTCATCCAACAATGACCGTAGTAATAATTGATCTGAATGTGCTTAGTCCTGGACTAAAATGTTGGATTTATGGCAAGGAATATGACGCTCTATCACTGTAGAGAATGCCCTTCTGATTCTTCTTGCCTAATTCTTCCAAGAAGCCCTGTAGCAATATCATCTCTTTTACAGCCTCTGACACTGCTATATACTTAGCTTCTGTATTAGACAACGAAATTGTCTTCTGCAGATTAGAGTTCCATGATACTACAGTGCCACCAATCGTATAAATATAACCAGTAGTACTTTTTCTAGTTTCAATGTCTCCAGCTAGATCAGCATCAACATAGCCCCGTACCTCTGAACTCTTTCCTGAGAAACACAAGCAAGTTTTTGCAGAGCCTCT